GGTGGAAGAAGAGTGCATTGGTGAGCAATGATGGAAGGAGTGCAGAGGTGACCAGTGGTAGGAGGAGTGCAGAGGTGAGCAGTGGTGGAAGGAGTGCAGAGGTGAGCAGTGGTGGAAGAAGAGTGCATTGGTGAGCAGTGGTGGAAGGAGTGCAGAGGTGACCAGTGGTAGGAGGAGTGCAGAGGTGAGCAGTGGTGGAAGAAGAGTGCATTGGTGAGCAGTGGTGGGAGGAGTGCAGAGGTGACCAGTGGTAGGAGGAGTGCAGAGGTGAGCAGTGGTGCAAGGAGTGCAGATGCGAGCAATGGTGGAATAGGAATGCGGAGGTGAACAATGGTGGAAGAGCAGTGCAGAGGTGGAACGTCTTTCAAAAGAAGTTTTCATTGAAAGCCCTTTGTATTTCTCTTTTTATAAGGTTGTTTTAGGATAACACACAGGACAATCTGTAAAGTTAAGATGACAGAAAAGCTAAAAAATAATCCCCTGCAGCATTTTTCTCAATGTGCAGATGGCTGGGATCCATGCTTTGTGTTATGCTAAGACACATGTGAATTGTTTGGTGTGTTTTACCATGCATACCGCAACACATCAAGGTTGAAGGGTCCTTCAGTGGTTAAGAATAAAGGAAGACATGATAAAAACTTGTTTCAAAATTGCAAAATTTAGGGCCATTTTCTTATGTTTTGATTAGAAAGGGGAGTCTATGTGCAATCTCTATGTGCAAAGGTAGAAAGCTTTTACTTCTGCATGTGGTGCCCAGCCACCACTCTACACTCTACAGACTTTTGGTGAAAAGTCAAACCGAAAGTAGCCCTTGGAAATAAAGTGTCTCACTTCTTTAAGTCTTGGTGGTTTGTTTTTGTAAAGAGTATTGCTATGACAATCGTACATCAAACACCACTTCTGTTGCCAAAGATACGCAAGGTTTTTTCATCGCTTCTGCCAAACATAAAAGCTGATGTGTTACTGGACCTCTTAACACCATCAGACATTTCCTGCATGAGAGCAATAAAGCTGTCAGTCCGTACACACCGACCGCAGAGTATCATCCTGTATAGCAGACGGTGCTACTGATTATTAACAGCATTAAAAGCCAGTTATTAATAAAGAGGCAAAATGCACCCTAATCAGGAGTTTAATACAGAAACACCAACGTGGATCTGCTGCACCCACAGATTGACATTGATATGCCAACTGTACGCAGGGCCATAGCAATAGAGGGATCATCCCATCCTAGTACAAGTTTGAAACAAGGTACCCTCTGGTTGGCCTCTTACTGTGCCCCCTTGGCTGTTCCTTTTACTCCCCCCCTCCCCCGTATTAATTGGCCATATATGCAGATTTTTCCTAAACATTCCTTTTTGAATTGAATGTTTAGAACCCCAATGAAAATCTGTGGAATGACTTGAAGACTGCACTCCACAAATGGTCACCATCAAATTTAACGAAACCTGAGCAATTCTGCAAAGAAGAATGGGCAAATATTGAAAAGTCTAGATGAGCAAAGTTAGTAGAGAAATATCCCAACAGACTAAAGGTTCATTAAGCACTTGCCCAACAGAGGATTTACCCCCCTTCCTGACCAGGCCATTTTTTGTGTTACGGCGCTGCGTTACTTTAACTAACAATTGCGTGGTCATGCTACGCTGCACCCAAATGAAATTTACGTCCTTTTTTTCCCCACAAATTGAGCTTTATTTTGGTGGTATTTGCTCGCCTGTGTTTTTTTTTTGTGCAATAAAAGAAAAAGTCAGACACTTTTGAGAAAAAAAACAATATTTTTTACTTTTTGCTATTAAACATGTCCAGTAAAAAAAATTAAAAAAGTCTAATTTTGTCATAAATTTAGACCTTGTACACATCCAAGCAGTTACATGCATACAATAACAGACAGACTTTATCAGCCTGTGAAAACACTCGGTGCAAAAAATACATTGAATTCTGTTGGTGTATGGCCCTCTATACCCAAGTGATTGAGCCCTTATGTGTAGGAGCATCATAAAACAAGAGCAATACATGTAAACAACCTACTTGTATTTAATAGTTGAAGCTCTAGTGAGCTGCAGCCTTGTCTTTGCAGCTATGTCCTCTGTCCAAACCCTAGACATGGCATCTTGGTCTTTGTCTGAAGTTAAAACATTCTTTTAATGCTTTTTTTTAAGTAGCTCACATTTGGCGTACTAAAGCAGCTGTGCAGTATAATAAGGTCTTCCACCACTACTCACCTCTGCACTCCTCTTCCACCACTGCTTATCTCTGCACTCCTTTTCCACCACTGCTCACCTTTGAACTCCTCTTCCACCACTGCTCACCACTGCACTCCTCTTCCACCACTGGTCACCTCTGCACTCCTCTTTCATCACTGGTCACCTTTAAACTTCTCTTCCACCACTGGTTACCTCTAAAATTCTCTTCCACCACTGCTCACCACTGCACTCCTCTTTCACCACTGCTCACCTCTGCACTTCTCTTCCACCACTAGTCACCTCTGAACACCTCTTCCACCACTGCTCACCTCTGAACACCTCTTCCACCACTGCTCACCTCTGAACTCCTCTTCCACCACTGCTCACACCTCTGAACTCCTCTTCCACCACTGCTCACCTCTGAACTCCTCTTCCACCACTGCTCACCTCTGAACTTCTCTTCCATCACTGCTCACATCTGCACTCCTCTTCCACCACTGGTCACCTCTGCACTCCTTTTCCACCACTGGTCACCTCTGCACTCCTCTTCCACCACTGGTCACCTCTGCACTCCTCTTCCATCACTGCTCACCTCTGCACTTCTCTTCCACCACTAGTCACCTCTGAACACCTGTCAGGAATGGACTGGCCAGCAATAGTGGGACTCAGCTGCCTTATGAGCTGCAGTACCAGGGCTGGCCAGCGGGTGCTCCCAGCAATCAGAGACTCAACCTTGCAGCCAGTCAAACACCTGGAACTGATTATACTGGTGTATTTAAGGGACATTCAGACCTGCAGACTCTGCCTTGGTGTTGTGTTTCTCTTGGGCCCTGTATCCTGTTCCTGCTCTCTGTTCCTGTCTGATTCTCTGCTGACCCTGCTCTGATCCCTGGCTTGTCTGACCATTCTCCTCTGCCTGACCCTCTGTACCACGCTGCCCGCTACCTGCTGAACCTGGCCTGTGACCCCGACCATTCTCCGCTTGCTCCCCCTGTACCTACCTGCCCGACTGATATTGACCCGGCCTGCCTGACGACGCTTGCATTGTATGTACTGTTATCTGTGGGTGGTTGGTTTGGTTTGTTTGCACTGTGTTATGTTTTAGTATTGCACTGCGTTTATGTTTGTATTGTTAGTGTTAATAAATTACATTGTTTATAACTTATCTGAAAGTCTGCGTTTCCCTGCGTCAGTCACAAACCTCTGGTCATACCCGGGAGCCCTGACATTACACCAAGGCCAATCCTGACCAGAAGTGGCTGCACAGGGAAGCCATCTTGGCTTGTTGATGGGAAGGATGGATCTGGATGAGGTTGCGTATTTATATCTGCTAGTGTTTGATGACTGGGAGTATGCTTATCAAACTCTGAAGGAGTATCCCCGGGATGAACTGCTAGAATGTATACGGCTCGCTCATGTTCTAGTAGATCAGGGCACAGATTTCTCTATGGTGCAGCCATTGATTAAGGTTTGTGTTGAGTTGGTTTCATCTGGTACCCCCGAATGCAGGGATGAATTTTTGCCACCATTTAGTGCAGACCAGGTAGAGTCCCTGGTGTGATTGTATAAACACAGTGCAGTCTTTGGTCAGACAGGCTTTGTGTAAGCTCAGCTTTGTTCAACCCATACTGCAGACATGGACAGACTTGTTGCACCCAGCCTCAGTCAGCTTACAAAAACCCAGTCCTGCTTCTAATCTATTTCCTCAAAACTCTATTCCTGCATTCCCAACAGCTCCTCCTGCCCTGCTATCTACCGCATGTCAGTACCCTGTTCCCACTCGCTGCACCTATCCTGCCTTTAACCCTGTAAAAAAGCCCTCTGTAGCAACTGCTCCCTCTCCTGTTCCATCCTCCAGTTCTTTCTATGTCTCCAGCTGCTCCATTCGTTTGCAGACCTGCGTTTACTTGCAGTGCTCCAGTAGTTAAAACCAGAAAAAGCGAAAATTCTTTCCAACCAATACCATCCTGCCAGTATCCAAACCGGTGAACCTGCCTTCCGTGGTTCAGCCTGAAGCCTCTACTCAGCCTGAATCCTCTACTCAGCCTGAATCCTCTACTCAGCCTGATGCCTGTACGCAGCCTGATGCCTGTACTCAGCCTGATGCCTGTACTCAGCCTGATGCCTCTCTTCAGCCTGATGCCTCTACTCGGCCTGATGCCTGTACGCAGCCTGATGCCTCTCTTCAGCCTGAAGCCTCTACTTGGCCTGAAGCCTCTACTCTCGGCCTGAAGCCTCTACTCGGCCTGATGCCTCTACTCGGCCTGAAGCCTCTACTCGGCCTGAAGCCTCTACCTCGGCCTGAAGCCTCTACTCGGCCTGAAGCCTCTACTCGGCCTGATGCCTCTACTCGGCCTGAAGCCTCTACTCGGCCTGAAGCCTCTATTCGGCCTGAGCCTCTACTCGGCCTGAAGCCACTACTCGGCCTGAAGCCTCTACTCAGCCTGAAGCCTCTACTCAGCCGGACGCCGGCATTCAGCCTGATGCCTTTACCCAGCATGATGAACTGATCCAGCCTGACGATCCTATTAGGCCAGTTGACTCGATGCCCGCTGTTGATCCAGATGATCCGGTACCTGATCCGGTGCCCGCTGTCGTGCCAATTGACTCAGAGCCCGCTGTCGTACCTGGTGACTCGGTGCCCACTGCCTTGCCAGATGACGCGGTGCCCGCTGGCGAGCCAAATGACCTGATGCCTGGTGACCCAGTGCCCGCTGTCATACCTGGTGACCTGATGCCTGCTGTCGAGCCAGACGATCCAATGCCTGGTGACCCGGTGCCCACTGCCTTTCCAGATGACGCGGTGCCCGCTGTCGAGCCAAATGACCTGATGCCTGGTGACCCGATGCCCGCTGTCCAGCCAGACGATTCAATGTCTGCCCCAGTGCCCGCGGTCATGCCAGTTGACTCGGAGCCCACTGCCTTGCCAGATGACGCAGTGCTCGCTGTCGAGCCAAATGACTTGATGCCTGGTGACCCGATGCCCGCTGTCCAGCCAGATGATCCAATGTCTGACCCAGTGCCAGCGGTCATGCCAGTTGACTCGGAGCCCACTGTCGTGCCTGGTGACTCGGTGCCCGCCGCTTCGCCTGGGGGCCCGAGACCTGTCGCTCCGCCTGGGGGTCCGGCGCCCGCCGCTCCGCCTGGGGGTCCGGCGCCCGCCGCCCCGCCTGGGGGCCTGAGACCTGTCGCTCCGCCTGAGGGCCCGAGACCTGTTGCTCCACCTGGGGGTCCGGCGCCCGCCGCTCCGCCTGAGGGCCCGAGACCTGTCGCTCCGCCTGGGGGCCTGAGACCTGTCGCTCCGCCTGAGGGCCCGAGACCTGTCGCTCCACCTGGGGGTCCGGCGCCCGCCGCTCCGCCTGAGGGCCCGAGACCTGTCGCTCCGCCTGGGGGTCCGGCGCCCGCCGCTCCGCCTGAGGGCCCGAGACCTGTCGCTCCACCTGGGGGTCCGGCGCCCGCCGCTCCGCCTGAGGGCCCGAGACCTGTCGCTCCATCTGGGTGTCCGGCGCCCGCCGCTCCGCCTGAGGGCCCGAGACCTGTCGCTCCTCCTGGGGGTCCGGCGCCCGCCGCTCTGCCTGGGGGCCCGATGCCTGTTGCCCCGCCTGGGGGCCCGATGCCTGTTGCCCCGCCTGGGGGCCTGCCCCGATGCCTGTCACCCCGCCTGGGGGCCCGATGCCTGTCACCCCGCCTGGGGGCCCGATGCCTGTCGCCCCTCCTGGGGGCCCGATGCCTGCTGCTTCGCCTGGTAATCCGATGTGCCTCTGCCCGGAGTCCTGCCCGATGTGCCTCTGCCCGGAGTCCAGCCCGGTGTGCCTCTGCCCAGTGTGCCTCTGCCCGATGTGCCTCTGCCCGGAGTCCAGCCCGATGTGCCTCTGCCCGGAGTCCAGCCCGATGTGCCTCTGCCCGGAGTCCAGCCCGATGTGCCTCTGCCCGGAGTCCAGCCCGATGTGCCTCTGCCCGGTGTGCCACTGCCCGGAGTGCCTCTGCCCGGAGTCCAGCCCGATGTGCCTCTGCCCGGAGTCCAGCCCGATGTGCCTCTGCCCGGAGTCCAGCCCGATGTGCCTCTGCCCGGAGTCCAGCCCGATGTGCCTCTGCCCGGAGTCCAGTCCGATGTGCCTCTGCCCGGAGTCCTGCCCGATGTGCCTCTGCCCGGTGTGCCGCTGCCCGGAGTCCTGCCCGGTGTGCCAGACTTTGATATCCCGTCAGTTACCAGACCCGGGCGGTGGAACATTTTGCCCAGCTAGGACTGTTTGGAGCGTCCTGAGGCCGCTCCTTGAGGGGGGGGTACTGTCAGGAATGGACTGGCCAGCAATAGTGGGACTCAGCTGCCTTATGAGCTGCAGTACCAGGGCTGGCCAGCGGGTGCTCCCAGCAATCAGAGACTCAACCTTGCAGCCAGTCAAACACCTGGAACTAATTATACTGGTGTATTTAAGGGACATTCAGACCTGCAGACTCTGCCTTGGTGTTGTGTTTCTCTTGGGCCCTGTATCCTGTTCCTGCTCTCTGTTCCTGTCTGATTCTCTGACCCTGCTCTGATCCCTGGCTTGTCTGACCATTCTCCTCTGCCTGACCCTCTGTACCACGCTGCCCACTACCTGCTGAACCTGGCCTGTGACCCCAACCATTCTCCGCTTGCTCCCCCTGTACCTACCTGCCCGACTGATATTGACCCGGCCTGCCTGACTGACGACGCTTGCATTGTATGTACTGTTATCTGTGGGTGGTTGGTTGGTTTGTTTGCACTGTGTTATGTTTTAGTATTGCACTGCGTTTATGTTTGTATTGTTAGTGTTAATAAATTACATTGTTTATAACTTATCTGAAAGTCTGCGTTTCCCTGCGTCAGTCACACACCTCTGGTCATACCCGGGAGCCCTGACAACACCTCTTCCACCACTGCTCACCTCTGAACTCCTCTTCCATCACTGCTCACATCTGCACTCCTCTTCCACCACTGGTCACTTCTGCACTCCTCTTCCACCACTGCTCACCTCTGAACTCCTCTTCCACCACTTCTCACATCTGAACTACTCTTCCACCACTGGTCACCTCTGAACTCCTCTTTCACAACTACTCACCTCTGCGCTCCTCTTCTGCTACTACTCACCTCTGCACTCCTTCCACCACTGCTCACCTCTGCACTTCTCTTCCACCACTGGTCACCTCTGCACTCCTCTTCCACCACCGCTCACCTCTGCACTCCTCTTCCACCAGTGCCTACCTCTTGTGAGGAGAAAAAGCATCCAAACAACCAATATATATTTAATAGCTGAGGCTTTAGTGAGCTACAGCCTTGTCTTTGCAGTTATGTCCTCTGTCCACACCCTAGACATGGCATCTTGGTCTTTGTCTGAAGTTAAAACATTCTTTTAATGCTTTTTTTAAGTAGATCACATTTGGCGTACTAAAGCAGCTGTGCAGTATAATAAGCAGTCTCTAATACCAAATGCTGAACTTGAAGAAGAATCTGGAGTATTAGCTCTTGGTCAATGGAAAGAATTGTCTGAGACAGACATAGCTTTTCATATTTAGTAAGATAACTGGGTTAGGGAAATTCTGACATAAAGAGTAGCACTGTACAGAATAGTTCAACAGCTATGCTAAAAAAGTTACTCTTTAATCTAAATTTCTATTATCCCCCTGCTGCATTTTCCAAATCATTTTATTGTTGGATTACGGTGGGGACAGAGACCCTTTCACCAACCTAAAGAATTGCAGAGAAAAGCCTAAAAAAATAAAGAAATGTAAATACTTATCAAAACACAGGTATACAGGGCTGGGGATTGTACAAAAGGTAGATAAATATGTTGTCACTCATAGGACCAACAAGCTCCCTTAGAAGTTAAATACCAAAATCTTAATATTGCCCCAAAAGTTTTTCCTAACTGAATGAGCTCATTATTGAAATAGTAAAATATATAACCCCCAAACAAAAACATTCAATTATAATTCAAAAGTAATTACAGCAAAAGCTCCAAAACTAAAAATGATGTAAATAAAAAAAAGCACCAAAATGAAAAAAAAAAATACAAAAAAAGTCCAAAGGGATGCTGAAAGCATTTAAAAATTGTCTTCCCCGAATGTGCCATGGACCAAACAATATAAAGTATACACATGTACAAATCTGCACAGCTCAAAGTTCTTTGAAGTTATTATCATTGTACAGGATTTATATAGCACCAACAGTTTGCGCAGGACTTTTAAAATTTAAAGGGAGACAGTACCATTACAGGGGTTGGACAAAATAATAGAAACACTACATGATTTGCAGGTGTGAAAGTGACGACAGGTTTTGCTTTGAAATTGGAAGTGATAACATTCTTATGCTTCCGCTGTGTGATGAGACACCTAGCTAACAGGTGGGAAGACTTACATTTGTCATTTACTGTATGCACTGGTAGTAATACGGAGTCATGTCAGCGCTTACTGAACTTCAAGGAGAGAAAATTGTTAGTGCCACTTAGCTGGTGCCTCTGTGACTGAAGTTGCAAATTTATTTGCCAAGGTACAGCATCAAAGGCTAAACAACATATAGTATATAGTATCCAGAAATACTTCGTCTGATAAGCATTAGTGTGGTCGACATGGTCAACTGACTGAAACAGACAAGAGATATTGTGCAGGATTGTGATCCGGAATAAGAAAACAACTGCTGCAAAAGTGCCTGAAAGCTCAATCTCAGCCCCATCAAGACTGAGATTGAGCTTCCTACCTGTTAGCTAGGTGTCTCATCACACAGCGGAAGCAAGATAATGTTACATCACTATCACACACAGCAAATCATGTAGTGTATCCATTTTTTGTCTAACCCCTGTACAATACATTCAGTACAGAAGGACAAGGAGGGCCCTACTCATGGAGCTTATGATCTAAAGAGAGGGGAAGGTGATACAAAAGGTAATAGCTGAGGGGGATGATCCAATGGAGGTGGCCAAAGTGCAGTTTTTCAGGTGGAGGTAAGGTAAGCTTCCCTGAATAATTGGGTTTTGAGGGATTGCCTAAAGATGGACAGGGTAGGAGCTAACCAGACATACTAAGGTAGGGAGTACCAGAGGATGGGAGAAGCTCTGGAGAAGTCCTGGAGGTAAGTATGGGAGGAGACAATGAGGGCGCTACAGAGCATGAAGTCATGGGAGGACTGAAGTGGACGATTTTGGGGGTATGTCAAGGTGAGGTATGTGATGTGCTATTGATCTCAATGGTAAGGTTTTGAGAGGGGGATCAGGGAGGAGGAAATATTACAAGCTCAGTTTTAGACAGATTGAATTTGAGGAAATGGTGTGACATCCATACTGATGTCAATTAGTACATTCATGAAATGTGAGATTTGGTGGGGTGGCCTGGGGAGTGGAAAGATAGATCTGGATGTCAGCAGCATAGAGGTGGTAATGGAAGCCTTGGGAGGTTACTAACTGGCCCATGGAAGAGGTGTAGAGAGAGAATAGGAGGGACCCAAGGACAGAGCCTTGGGGTACTCCAAGAGAAAAGGGAGATGAGCAGAGGGGAGTTGTAGGTGACAATAAAGGTGTGATAAGGTAGGTAGGAGGAGAACCAGGAAATTGCTGAATCTGGAAAGGGATAGAGATTACTCAGGAGGAGCGGGTGGTTGACTGTGTCAGATAATTCTACGAGTATGAGTATGGATTGGTTATAAAGTTCCTTCCAGACACAGGTGCAGCATCAAGGCAATCAAAATAATTATCAGTAAATGTGAAAAACGTAAGTACTTTCCTAGACTCGTAGCATTTTTCCTTTGCAGAAATTATTTATTCATTTGCAATGTGCCTTTGAACTTGCTTCTGATTAATCCGGGAGGGTCAATTCCCTAGAACAGTGCCCTCCCTCATTGCACTTCATAGCCCTCTTCTCTTCTAAAAAAATGTATCATTATTGTCTGTACTGGCCCAGCTCCTCCACCTTTCCTCCCACCTCCCTACATAACCATGGCAACCTGGGGAGAAGCAAAGGGAATACTATAGAGTGTCAATTGAGTGACAGCTCTTAGTGTGATGGAGTTGCTGACTTCTCATCTAAGATAGTGGAGCCCAGCAGTCTCCGGGCTTTTAAATATCGACATAAGGGCGCTCTTGACAGGTACATGATATGAATTAAATATGTTAAATGCATCAATAATGGAATTTTTTTTCTCTGGTGACAAGGTCTCTTTAAAGTTAGGGTTAGCTATAGGATGAGGCACACACTAAGATGCCTTGGCCTTGCTAGAATATGTTAAAATATGGCACACAATAAAAACGTTCAATGCCTGTCAACTGTGGAAAATTTGCACTTCACATGAATATATAGTACTTGTCATAAAAAAATGCTTCAAACTCTTTCATGTGATGTAAAGCCAAGTAAAAGATTCCATGTTCTCTGGAAAGAGCATTGAGGGTGTTTCTGGCAGAGCCTGCAGAGCATCTTTTTGC